GGGTAGGGGAGAGAGAGAGGCCTCAAGTAGGACATTTTCTCTCACTTTTTTTAAAAGCCTGGTTTTAAGCCATTTTTACTCTTCAAAATGTTTATGTGCTGCAATATGATGGAGTTTTAGGAACCTGCTGTTCATTTCTTGCTGCTTTACAACAAGAACATCCTGCAGTTGCCTTGAATTACCTGGGGACAGCTAAAATCAGAGAGCCAAGGTTAGCCAAGACCACCGGCCAGACTCAGGCTGTGCTACCTTGCACTCTACCTCACTCACAGACATTTGCCAGCACTGAGAAAATGGCCTTGATTCCATGAAAACATACTTATGCCTCACCACACTAAAGCTGGTTTTGGTGTTGGCTTGTCTGTGCATGGGAAGGACCTGTGAACACCGGCCAGGCAGAGCAGTCCCCGGAGGTGTCCGTGTCCCAACTGCCTGTGAACTCTACCTCTGCAAACTTCTCTGATGGTTGGCAGCTGAACGGGTGTTGCCCCAAATCCCTGGTCCAAACAGACAGGGTACAGGGTCCATGGGCACTGCAGAGTGTGCTTGCCCTGCTGTGCTGAGAGTCACGGGGATGCAAAAATAAGTGCCTTGAACTGAACATCACGCCATTATTTTTCTGCTGTATTTTGTTTTTAATCTGAATCCAGCTTGGCACGTTAAATATAGCACGGCGGGCTTTGGACAAATCTGTTGGGTTTGCTAGAGTCTAGGCATTTATACCACAGTTGCTGTTGCTCTAATTAAAAAGAAAAGCTCACATGACAGAAATGATTCCTATGCGCTGATGTTTCAGTGCAATAACCACAGCACCAAATGCAGTCTTAGCGTTGTTCTGTTCATTGTGGACCGCGGGCCAAGAGGAACAATGGCTATGGATGGATCAGCCTCCTGCTCCACAGGTCAGTACAGCAGATGCTCAGAAAGGTTGAACCCAGTACATTTCTTTGCGGAAAAAAAAAAAAGGTCATTTCTCTGTTTGGCATCCAGAGTGACTCAGTAAACCAGCAAAATTACTCAAAAATTCTTTACTTGCTTTCAGAAGAGGAAGAAAATACAATCCTGAGTGATTTCATAGAATCCTTGACAAAGGTGGTGGTCCTTTTCTTTTTTCCAGTTAGTTCAGGCTCTGTACCCCTCTGACTTTCCATCCTTGTTACAAATATGACGTTGATTAAGACACTGGAAACATAAATCCTCTTGAATGAAGCATTTGTCTCAGAGGAACTCCTTACAAGTCTGTGAGCAAAGCCAGCACACTGTGATATTTGAAAACATGAAGCCACCTACATGGGAATAAGGCCACTGGCTGGTTAGGCTCTGCTACCATTTAAATCTCAAAGGTCAAAAGAAAATGTTCCCCAGTAGTTTCTTCATGGAAAAAATTTTGGTATGAGCTGGGGAACATTTTCTTGCTGCTGGATTTTTAATTCAAAACAGACTCTATAGGAATTTTTTCTTAAAAATACAACCAAAGGGTTAATAATGTTATGAAGGAAAATAAGACTCCAGATCTGGTTTAAATTGGGCACAGCAAACCTCACTTCTCTGCTGGCAGGTCAGGGGTCTGAGTGCTTCACCCCCTCTAGTGGCACTCTGGAATGAGAAATCCCTGTCCACATTGGTACTGCAAGAGCACCTTATCCTATAGGAAACACAGCTACAGCTTCCCCCCATCCCGCTGTCCTCTCCTTTGCCTGGCAGCAGACCAGGCCATGGCAGGGGTGGGACACGGATGTGTTTCATGGGTGTGCTACGCCCCCGACACGCATGCGAAGAGCAGAGGGAGGAGTGTGTCCAGTCAAGCGGGTAACGAACTCCTGGCTGTCTCTGGGCAAGAGGATCCTTTAAAAATAAAGAAACTAAGCAGTGCTTGTTTCCCCCAGGCACGCATCCGCTTTACGTAAGCACTGGATAGGAAGCACATTACACTGTAACTTCATTTTTCAATCAGCTCCAAGAACAAGTGACCTCTTTGAAGCTGGTTTGCACAGAGCCCCAGTTTTGCATGCAGCTGTAATGCCGCAAAGTCTTAGATCTTCCCTCTACCACAGCCCCAGCACAGCTGTCCCCTCCACCTCATGCTTCATGTGCAGCTCTACCTCCATGGGCTTGGCAGGTGGCCACCCCATGGGAGAGCCCCATCCCCTGCTCTTTGGCAAGAACACAGCTACCAGCAGCCCAGAGCCTTCCCCCAGTGGATGCAAAGCCACCCTTTGGGGGATTTGGAGCTCAGGTGCCTGTGGGGGTACCATGTCTGGTGTCTGCTGGACTGGAGCAGGTCATCCCACGTCCCTCCCAAAGCAGAGTCCTTGCTGCCCCAGCACGGGGGGATGCTCAGTCAACTCTGCTGAGTCTCACAGAGGAGAGTGGTCAGCTTTGGTGAAGACCATTTTGTGCCTGCCCAAGCCCCTGAAAGGTCAGTTTATCACACAAATGACCTTTGTGGGTGCAGGCAGGGTGAGGACATGGGGTAAGGGCAGGAGCCAAGAAAGTTATGAAGGCAAGGGCCAGGCTTCCCCAGTGCGATGCAGGTGTGATGCACAGCAGCATTGGGCTGGGTTCTCCTGTGCTCCCAGCCTCCCCTTGCCCTCCCGCAGGAAGCTCCTGGACTCTTGTGAGTTTGTGGCACTGGCCGTGCAGGTATGGACATCAGTTCTTCCTCTGGGATGTGCTGGCCTCGGGCATGGTCCTGCGTTCAACGCCTGCTGATGGTGCCTCCTTTATTTCAACGACTACTCAAAAGGGTTTCAAAGCCAGCAAACTCTCCTCCCACAATCACTGCATCCATTTGCCGTCCCTGCTGTGCCCCTCTGGACCTGCCGACACACAAACCTACTTAGCTTAATTCAACACTCCTGTCACAGAGCATTTTCAAGTGCTCATCCGCAATGTGCGGGTTCCCAGGGGAGGCGGCACGTGGCTCTCTGAGCCTGGTTTGTCCCTTCATTTACCCCAGTGCCAAGGCAAAACAACTTTTCCCAAAGTCAGCAGCACGCCCTGCAGCTGCACTGGTAGAAATTCAGGATGAGGCCGTGGAAACACAAAATTAGCTGTGAATAATTGCCATCACAACTAGCGCTGTCGTAGGATGCCCAGTTCTATTGCACAACTCTGTGATGTCCAGCAAGCCAGTTGCAAGCTGGAGTGAAGCCCTTTCAAACTCAACAAGTACTGTTATAATGAAGCTCATACCTCATTGCTGGGTTGATGAGTAGCTTAGCATTGATTTAATGAGCTCCCTTTAGAAGCCTCCAGTACTGCATTCCTTGGAAGATTAAGGGTTGTGTTTCTTTTTTTTTTTTTTCTTTCTAATGATGTTGTTACTGAGGAGGCATGAGAATCTGAGATATACCCTGCTTACCCCTGGGTGAACCCCATTTACACGGCATTTTTACTTCAGGAATCCTTCCAAACATTGCACAGATGGAATTTCATATCTGACAAAAGAAACAGATAACGTTTATTGAGAAAAAAAACCCTTAATACTGCCTGAGTTTGCATTTGCTTGCTCATGCAATTGTGCCTCTTCTGTGTTTTTTAGTGTCAAAAGTACTCTCCAGAGACTGGTTCTGATATATTTTTTTTTTAAACTAGCATAGATGACAGACAATGTGCTTTACCAACATCTATGGCAACACTCGCCACCCTTTCAAAATACCAAAACATTTTCATACTGAACTGTAAAGATGCCAGGGAGCTCTGTACAAACCTTGCTTCTGGGGACTGTCAGGCAACCAACTCATTAAGTCCCGGCAAAATAGAAGCAGCGCCTTCAGCTCAGCAGAGCCGGCACGCTCCCGCTCCTCCGATACAGAGGAGCTTGCGACAGCAGAGTGACCACTGTCATGTCTAAGCCCCGAAATGGATGAAGAGGAGCAGCCTGCTTTGGGGAACCTGGTGCAGATTTGGATTCTCTGAGGTCTTGTTCCTGAGGATATGCTTTTGGCGGCAGGTCTCCAGGGCAGTGGCAGAGGGGACCATAGGCAACAGAGGCATGTGCAGTGGGATAAGACTGTGAGTATCAGCTCTCCCTTTACCTCATTTCTGCTGTCACTCATACAGCAAAGCGGAGGGAAGGGCAAGGGTATCTTTGCTTTTTCTTTCTGAAGTAGAAACAAAAGAAGAGGCTGGGTGAAATGAAAACTTAGAGCAGGAAGACAAGAGAGAGAGATTTGAATTTTGCAAGTCAGAATTTACTTGTGCCTTGCAGCAGTTCTCTATTACGAAAAAGGCACTTGGTTTGTGGCCAAAGAAATGCTGACAAAAAGAATTAAAAAAGACTTGCAAAAATGCGGCGGCATTGTTTCTGTTTAAAAGCAGTGGGCTGTCAGCTCGACAGCATTCAAGCTCTCCTTTTCAGCTAGAATATATTTCTCCTGCAGTTTTCCATTTGCTGTGAACTGTAGTTAAGCAAACAAGGCAGGCTAATGGAAGTGAAAGTTTTAATTAACATTTATCGTCATTTACGAACAACTTGGCAAAGGTGGCGGGGACCCCGCGGCCCCCCAGCAATGCAGCAGCACACGCCATCGCACGACAGCCGGGCACCTGCCTGCAGTTGGCGGTAGGAAAATGCCGATCCCTAGAATCCGCCGGCAGGTAATCTCCAAATAACTCAGCACGCTGTGCCTTCCGGCTGCTTGGGTGAAAACCTCTCCACAGGCAAAACTTTGTAAACATGTTGTGACGCTACTCCGGGAGAGGAAGCCTGCTCGGCTGCTAAGCCAAGGATCCCCACACCAGCAGCGAGAGCTGGCAGCGCCCAGCCCACCCCTGCTGCCAGCCTCCCTTTCCCCTTTAAATAAACATCCGTGTACAAAGCAGAAGCCGCTCAAGATCCCCCCTCCCTTCCCCTTAAACGGAGATTTGAAGCCCACAACGGCACAGAATGCAAACACACGTCTAACTCGCGTTACAGAAATAGGTTGTGCAGCAAACACAGCCTGCAGCTGCTGCTGCGTCCGGAGACACTACTTTGTGAAAAACAGCAAAAGTACCTTTTGAATTCTTCCATCAATATCCAAATAAATACACTTGGGCCGGTAAGTTGAGGAGGCAGATCCCATCTTGCTCCTGTTGGGCTTTCACTGGACTTTTTTCCAGTGTCAAACAGAGCAGAAAATAAGGTTTATCCTACCAAGCCGAGCCACCGCTGCCTGACAGTTTGGTGTCCCCGCTCTTCTGTATCCCACTGTACTCTCATTCTGGGAAGGTCCCTCCTCTAACATGCATGCATTTTGCTGTGCCTCTGTCTCTGTCTGCCACCTCCTTTTAGTTTTGCTTCCTTCCAAATCCAGCTGCCTTGAACAGGGAAAGACACCGGCTCCAGATGCTGCCTGCAAGTGCCCTCTCAATTCCCATAGCAACAACCCCTCCTGGCTTTAGGGCTGAGAGCTGCTGGGCACCCGCACCGAAGCTCTCACCCCGGGGCTGACCAGCTCCTGTTCCACACAAGACCAAGTGGCACTTGTCCCCCAGGGGGGCTGGGGAGGGAGGAAAAACCTCTTTCCTCAGGGTGGTGAGAGATGTCATTTGTTTTTGTGCTAAAACAGGACCGTAATTATTAATTAGTGCTGACTCTTCTGGTGAGCTGCCCGTGCCCTGCGTGCAGTGTGGCAGGTCCTCAGCTGTGCCCTGTGCTGCAAGCGTTCTTTCACACAGCAGCTGAGGCTTGGACCATCTCAACCCAAACTCAGCAGTTTAATTTCCACATCCCTCCTGTTATCATTGTAAGAACAGAAAGAAAAAAGCAGCAGCTTCCCCCCCACCCCCCATAAGCTCCAGAAGCACGCTCTCACCCAACACCATCCATGCCACCCCCGGAGGGAATGAATTTGTTATTTAAGGGTACGTGAAGTAATCTGGCAAAGGCATCTCCCATGGGAAGGCGCAGCCAAAAAGCAGGAGGCAGTAAAGCATCCGACAGCCGATTCTCTAAGTGGAGGCCAAATACCATCTGCCGAGTGTCTGTGCTGTGCTGCAGTGCCTGTGTCTGTGGCGAGCTGAAGCAGCGGCGACTGTGGGTGATGCTCAGTCATCGAGGGGAGAGAGCTTTGGCGACAGTGGCTCGTCTGCCCTGGCAGGGGAGCATCTGTCTGATGGGCTGCGAGCACGCACAGCGGCTGGACACAGCTCGTCGCATGAGTATTAGTTCTCAGTGTTTTCTGAGGCTTCTGATGGAGGAGCTGCAAAAACATTTCCTGGTCTCTTTTGTGCTGCGGTCTGGGAGCACTGGGCTTGTAGCAGCAGGGTCAGTGCTGCCTTCCCTGCCCACCCCCAGGGCCTTGCAGCAACTTGAGCAAGGAAAAACTGACCCACAGAGGAGGGCAACGTGGCCCTGCAGGCTACAGCTTGATGTGCAGCGCCCCGCTGTCCCCTGCAACACGAAGGCAGGGCTTGTTCTCTGTGCAAAGAGGATTTGTAAGAACTGGCAGGGCTGAGCAGGTCCCACAGCCAGTCCAGGAGCCAGAGCCAGGCTGGCCTTTCAGACCGACGCCAGTAGCACAGTGATTCTTTTGGGAGGTACAAGCCTTTCTTCACATCTTTCTGACAGCTTGGAGCAGGCACTTGAAGTCTTCCAGGAGAGAGCCCTGGCTGCTGCAGGGTTATCCTGTAAGCTATCCCCTAAGCTATGTTAGAGCCTATCCCACAAGCTGTCCTGGAGGCTACCCTCTAGCTATATTACAGTCTATCCCCTAGGCTGTCCCAGAGGCTAATCCCCTAGGCTGTCCTTCAGGCTATCCCCATGGCTATTCTGAGGGGGCACAGCCTCTTACACTGCAGCATCCCTTCCACATCAACGCCACTGCTTCTGTACATCACTTGGGACTTCTGTGACTGACCATTTCATATCCTGCTTTGCTAAACATTGCCTTAACCCTGGTTCTCCATCGTTCACTCCTGAGTGACTCGATTGATTTGACAAGCAGCAGGTACCTGAGGAAGATGGCCATGATAACAAAACCACAGCTGTTTGGAAAGGCATCAAGAGGACTCACAGTGGGAGATGCACACAGGGCTTTTGGTGTTGCAGAGGAGGAAGCTGAGATCTCCCCCCGTGATGACCTGCTCCAGGAGGGGTCAGACGAGGCCACTGGTGCATTGCAGGATTTGATCTCACATCATTGAGGCATCTAATGATCAGAATCTCACACTGGTGAGCATCCACCTTTTGATTTCTGTTTAATAACGCAACCAGCCTCTCCAGCCAACACAAAGACAGGCTCTGAAATCCAGGTGATGATCCTGTTCTTGCCTCTCCATCTTCCTTGACATATCTACTGTCCCTCTGTGTTTAAACTGTGTTTCTTAGGCTCCAGCACACATCCCACCCCCCCTTAATTACATTAATGCTTGTTGGGAAAAGTGCTTTGCTGTCAAACTGATAACTACTGCACTTTTCAAGAACTTTTCATGTAGAAGTGAATCTACAAAAGCTGACCTCTCAGAAACTGTGGTAAGAGCCAGATGTAATCTAATGTACAGCTCAGGCCCATGCCTGAAAGGTGACAAAGGATGGTGTTCACCAAAGAGGATGTGCAGCTCCACAAGATCTCTGCTTTCCTTTAGCGGGTTTAACCCCACCAGAATCTCCTTCTTTCATTATATGCTGTGCAACGCAGACAAAAATAACTTGGAAGAATTATCCTATCCTATCAAACCCTTCAACTGTTCATCAGCTGGGCCAAATCCTGGCAATACAGTGCCAGATGATGTTTCTCCATCATTTGCTTTAAAGGAGCATTTTGACCAGCTAAAGGCAGCACTGGGCTATTATCCCCCAGACTGGAGGCAGCACATCAAGTGTTGCACAGCTCTGCTTTGCCTTCTCTGCTAAGTCGTCTGCTGAGGCCAACACACACCGCTTTCTACACACAACCCTTAAAAGTAGACGTGCCTTTCAGAGAGCTGCAGGGCTTAAGCCTTTGGCCCGACTATCTGGCGGTGTCCCAGCCAGATGTCACTTACCCTGGCAGGTGTTCCCAAGGAGTAAAAAAGGTCCCTCTGTCTCCTGGCCCCAATGTCTGCTCCACGTACGTGGTTCAGAGGCAGCTTTATTAGCTTTATTTCCAAGGTGTAACTGGAGGATATTCAGATCACACATGGCTTGCACTTGGACTCACTTCTGTTGAGGCACAAAATATCTGCGCTGTCTTTACACAGATCGAGATCACCCCCTGCTGCAAACCCTGATTAAAGGGTGAGTGAAAAGCTTGAGGGATGAACAGGGCTGCCCAAGCCCCTCTCCACGTAGGCCTGGTGTGGGGTGGTGTGGCACTGTCCCCATTCCCTCCGCCCCCCCTGCCTGCAGCTGCGACTATGCAGAAGGGACCGAGGCGCGAGCCATCGAGGACAAGGTGAGGGCAGCACTGCAGACTGCCAGCCCGCTTGGTCCCTCCAAGGATCTGTCCCTGTGAGAAGTGTCTTGAGGTAGAAACATCCTTTTGCAATAGTCTCCCAAGATCTGTCCTTCCTCTGAAGCACCCCTGTCAGTCCCAGTCACCTATTTATAGCCATGTAATGGGGTTTCCGGGGCTCGCTTCTGCAGTCCTGAAGTTGCTGTGCTCACAGGGTGGCACCCATCACAGAGCACAACCCCCAGCCTCTCTAAAACCTAGTTTTCCCACAGCACTCAAGAAACTAAGTGCCCCTTGCAACCTGCTGTGAGCAGCTGCACACTCAGACTGGGGGAGTGCAGAGCAGTAATCTTCAAAGGGATTATGATGGGGAAAAAAGCCAGATAAATTACACCTTTCAGTGAAAGATCTCAAACTCAGTTTTCCTCAGAGAAACACATTCCCAAGTGTCGTTGCTGAACCCTCTTTTCTCTTGCCCTGCCGCACTTTGGCTCTCCTTGCTCTCCATGATGAAGCAAGATCTCTGGGTGCCTTGTCTGCTGTGCCTGCCCCTGCCCCGTGCCCCCGGGGAGGCTGCACCAGGATGGACTCCACACCAAATAGCTCACCCCACCTGAAGGGCAGGGAGAGATGCCTGTGGTCGAAGCTGGGGAGGGAAAACCTCAGGTTTTGTGCGAAGCGTGGAACGTACCTTGGTACCTATGAAGGGGGCTAATGAAGGTCTAAGGTTGTGTTTGGAAATGCTTCCTGGGCCACTGGGACTGGGAAGGTGCAGCCTGGCCTTTGAACGGATGGGCAGCCAGAGCACAAGTCACACCAGGTATTTTAAAGAAGGAGATACATTTTGGACAAAGTTTGCCTAGAAGAAAAAGCAGAGGATAATAATTTAAATAAATCAACTTTTTTCCTTACCTACTCCATATCTAAGCCTCTCAGCTGCTTCCTCTGCCCACTAATTCCTTTTCTTGCAGGTCCCCTCCTTCGGCTGAAGGTCTCTGGCACATGTCTGTCTGTCTCCACAATCCCAGAGGGCCTCATCTTACTGCTTCACCTCCTCACACCATTTCCCTCAAACCTACCAATATGCCTGATTGCCCCTGGAGCTGGGAAGGTTTCCCCTTTGCTCCCCAGCTCCTCTTCCCCTCCCTACTTCACTCAGTCCTCTCTCTCTCTCCTTTCACCGTCTTTGGTGTTACGCCACTCTTGCTTCTAGATTCTTCTCCCCCACAAACCTGTGAGCCAGGGCTGAGTCTGTACAGGAATTAACTTTTCATGGTTTTACACTGTCAACAGCTAAACCGATAGCTATGCCTGCGTAAGCTCCTCCGTTGTGCCTGTTGCAGAGCACGACTGACCTTTTCAGTCCAGCTCTCACTCCTTTCCATGAGCCTATGGAAAGCATATGGCTGGCCGTATACAGGAATTTTAGCTTGCTTCTTTGCACGTTTCTTTTATACACTGCCAGGTTTCCACAGGACCAGACCTGGAAATGATCATATTTAATGCTAATTACAGAATGACTGATTATTAATACCAGGACCTCTATATGATGTGTCTATACAGGCCCTGAAAACCTGTGTTTGGCCCTTTACCACACAGCAGAGCAGCTCTCCACCGCGCCCTTGGCTACAGCCCCATTTCTGGGTCCGTTGCCTGCCCCAGCCCCGATACATGCACTACAGCCATAATCACCCACATCCCAATTTCTATGGCAAACCCCCAGGAACATGGGCTGGAAGGGAACTGTGGCATCTCCTGACACGGCTCATCTGGGGCACCAGGGTGCAGATATAGAGCCCTGTGGGCTGGAGACGTAGTATTACTTACTTGG